TAAAAATGAGGGGCTGGAAAAAAATTGCTATGCATTAAGTGAATAAAAAAACAGGAGTTGAAATCATGCTATCAAACAAAGCAAAAACAAACAAAAAATGGATTAAAAAGAAAACTACATTATGCTGAAACATAGTTAACAAGCCAATATCATTTTAAATTTTTCTCCAAATGTCTTAGTACGTAAATTCATAAAGGAAACATTCACTCAAGTATGAAATATAGCAGTTTGCCTATAAATCTGGGTTACATTCTTACCAATGCACATTGTTCATGAGAAAGAGGAGACACAAATGGAAACTTAACAGGTAATTTCCAACTCCTGACTATAGGCTATGATGTCCTTGGTCCCTTAAGCCCCTATACCACACAAAAGCCTCTCACCTTCAAGCAATTCCTTTCCTGGTCCTCTCGTGATCAGCAAAGCTACTCTTCTGCTCTTAAGCCAATGAAGTAATGACAAGCTCTTAAAGCTTAACAGGACACTAAGATAAATTATGTACTCTTCCATCAAAAATATATCAATATTGACCTTATCCAGTGACAAGTAGTTCCCGCAAGCCAGATAACTGAAAATCTCTTCAGGTTGGCTCTTTGTCCAATGCATACAAACCCAGCTAGCTTTTCAGTAAAAAGGATTCCACTTTCTCCAATCAGCTTCTAGTAATGCAGTCTCCTCTACAATAGGCGCAACACACAGCAAAACAGATACAAAGCCTGCCTTTGCCCCTCTTTTTTTCCCTCTCAAATCCTAGACGGCACTAGAAAGCAACCAGACACCGCTGGGAAGTTTCTTCTTTGTCAGGCTGTAGATACCACTAGAAAGCCATAACAGTACGGAACTCTTACTATCTGCCAGGTACTCTACCCAGTGCTGGGGATAAAAATCTTTCAAGAAGCTCACATTCCAATGGGGAGGACAATATACAAACAACTTTGTACATACAAGATCTATACACTGAAATGGAAGGCAATCTCAGAGGAAAAGGACTAGCAGCAAGGGGAAAGAATGAACCAGAAAAGGCCTCCTGCAGAAGGTAGGATTTGAGCTGAATCTTGAAGGAACCCAGGGAAGCTAGAAGTCAGAGGTAAAGAATTCCAGGCATTGAGAACAGCTAGTGCTCAGACAGCTCTATACACAGCAGTAGATGGATTCAACTCTTTTCCAATCAACACAGCAACTGAAGAATTCTCTCAGCTAATTCAGTATTCCTCCAGCCAGTCTACTAAGAAATTCCTTTCTTCCAAACATCAGGCTCCCAGCAAAGCAGCTGAAGAGCCCATCAGTCAGATGTCTTAACTAGAAACAGCTTCCTTCATAACCTTCTATATTTTTTGTGACTCTTCTGACATTCAGCTTATTTACTCTCTTGCTTCTTTTGTTTTTCTCTTCCTATACTTCTTCTCTGGCTTCTAATGCATCTAATCAATGTCTTCTCATGCACAATGACTCATCTCTAATTTACGATATGAAACTCAATAATTCAATACCTTTCTGTCAGGTATGATATCAATCACTGTGCAGCCTTCCCATAGCCTCCAAATGCTTATTTGAGCCAATTTCTCAGTTATAATTTTCAAAGCTCTTTTTAAAAAAAAATGCACGCAAATGACCACAATACCCTGCAGCCACCATTACCTTAGTCATTGTTCTGCTTTCAGAAGAGGCATTCATCTGAGGGACAGATTTTTCTATCTCATCCTCAAAATAATCTGTGTCTCTCAACATTTTATTAAGCATGTTTTAACTTCTCAGTTTTCCTTACATAAATGTTCTTTTTTTGTCTTTTCAGGAACCAAACTGTTCATATGTGAAAATGGTGATACATTGTAGTATCATTATTGCTAGGAAGTATAGGAATTTTAGAAATAGAGAAGAAGTATACAAGTTTTGGAGTCAGAGTTTCTAGGTTCAAATCCTTTTAAATGACTTTGGATAAGTTACTTTACCTCTCCAGGTTTCATTTTCCTCATATGTAAAATAGGAGGGTTGGACCAAAATGACCTCTAAGGTCTCTTCCCATTCTAGATCTGTGGTCCCATGATATATGATAAGAATTTTCTATTAAAAAAAGATTTGAAGGCTTTGAATGTATCTGTTACTGGAATATGAGGGAGAATCTTTTTGATTAGCAGAGATGACTATTGGGAGTAGCTCAGGATGACAGAATTGGGTCCCTTTTAAAATATATTTTCACTCTCCCAGATTTTGAAAGTTTAGGTCAAAATTCTTCCAGTCTAGGCTGGAAGGATTTCTTATTTGCTTGGGTGTGATGATTGCCTGTCCTGGAATAGGCAAACTGATTTGAATTCACATTTCATCTTTGATTATCCTTAGTCAGTGCAACTGCCAAAAATGAGGATTTGAGAGTTATAGAACAAAGAAAGTGTTTTTCCTTCAACCTTTTTTTTTTAATCAATGTAACACACCCTCAGAGTCTGCTTCCCTAGGTCTCTCTTGCATTAGCAGGTCAGGTCTCTAGTGGTTAACTGATTATGACTATTCCTTAGAGTTTTAGGGGATAACCCTGAGGACTGCTGGGGTTTCTAGTATTCTAGCTCCTGAGACCCCCACCAGTGTGCTGCCCATTATCAAAAAGAATCAGTTGAATTCTATCAGATTTTAGAAAAGGTGTTTAGTGAGAACAATGGATACAAAAAAATCCTCCCAAACTAGGGCACAATCTCCCCTTGAACACACAAGGCCCAAAAGGAAAGTGGGGTCAAATTTAAAAGTAGAAAGGTAGTTAGGCACATGTATAAAGAACGCGTAGGAACAATTCCTGGTGCTAGGAATCCTTTTCTCTCTTCATGGTGTCCTTATGAAATTCCCCTTAGGTGTAGTTTTGTGCTGGATTTTGAGGATATAGCCAGAACCAACATTGCCATGAGGGTTTATGATCCTTGAAGGTGCCCGTCTTCGGGAGGCTGTCTTTATCTGTCTGCAAGTACTTTCTCTGTCATTGACTTCTGACATTCCATTAACATACAAGACAAAGTTATCAAGATAGCATTTCTTTGGTTGTTTTGGACAATGCTACCTCTTCTCTGTTATTCACATATAGCTTATCTACTACAGCAGATTTTTAATCCTTACCTCCACAATGCATTTTGAATCAGACCCCTTCTATTTACTCACCTGACTCCCATCCTAGTTAGGCCTTTATCACCTTTTTCTTGGACTATTATTGCAATTAATCAGTTGATCAGCAAATATTTAGACTGGAGATTGCAGAAAGGATTTATAAAGTGCTTACTATGTGCCTGGAACTGGCTAGGTGCTGGGGAAAAGGGATAGAAACTATACCTGTGATTTCATTGATATGGAAAACTACCAAATTTTAGTCTTAGAAAGAATAGGGTTTCTTCACCTGGGGTGTGCATAATCCCCAGAAGAACAAGAAGTCTGTCAAGAGATTACAGGGAATATTTGGCAAATAACTACATTATCCTATTGAATTTAGCTAATCTTATTTTATTGCTTATATGCATATTCATAGTAAGTGCCAGAATTTCTATCCTTTCATGTTGAATGAGGTATGAGATGTTTTACTGAAAGCCAAGAGATTAAAAAAAAATTTGTTCTCCTGATCTAGCACATTAAGAGGTTTAATAACTTGCCCAGTCTACTCACAGTGAACAGACATCAGAGATATGACTTCTTCAATCCAGGTCTGACTGGCTCTAAGACCAGTTCTTCATCCATTAGGCTATATTGCTTCTCCACTGTGCTAGGGACTATGAGAGTGCTAGATTTTGAGCCTGAGCAATTGGGAGAATAGTCACACAGATGACAGCAATAAGGAAATTGGAAGAGGGCAGAGTTCAGGGGTAAAGAAAATAAGTTCAGCTTTCATCTGGCCACATCACCCTTCCTTGTTCAGGAAGCTCCAATGTTCCCTATTACATCCAGGAGAAAACGCAAAAAGGCTTTTAATACAATCGGGCCCCAGTCTTCTTTCCCAGAATTATTGCACATTGCTCCTATTTACAGACTCTATGTTAAGCCTAACTGAAGTGTTTGCTGTTCTCCCTACAGTAGCTTCTTTCAAGTTCAAGCATCACCTTTTACAGGAAGCCCGGGTCCCCTCAGAGTCTTCCATCTGAAATTACTTTGTATATCTTTTATTTTTAATTTCAATGTATGTAATTGATCCCCTCACAAAATTTAAACTCCTTGAGGGAAAAGACTGTTTCATTTTGGTCTTTGTATCCACAGCATCCAGCCCAGGTACCTGGTACATTTGTTGTTGAGTCGTTTCAGCTGTCTGACTCTTGGTGACCCCATTTGGGGTTTTCTTGGCAAAGATATTGGAATGGTTAGCCATTTCCTTCTCCAACCTGGCATATAGTAGGAGCCTAATAAATGCTAGTTGAATTGAATTGCTAATTAATCTAAAACAGTACACAACCCAAAATTCTATTCAGATCAAAGATGGCAAAGAGCTAGTGGAACTCAGTACATATTGTGTGAGCCTATTTCTTTAACACTTCAAATGGTTTGGTTTAGGGGCAGCATGGCATTAGGAAAGAACACTGATTCTTGATTCAGAAGATCTAGATTATGGTCCCAACTCTCCCCATTGCTACAAGGCTTCAGTCTTCTCATCTGTAAAATGGGGTTCGGGGTTACAGCTCTAAATTTTATGATAGGAATATTAAATCCACTTTCCAATCCTCCCCTTTCTACTTTACACTGATGGCTCGAGGGTGACACCTAGTGGTAGCCGAGGAGGTGATCTGGCAGCATTCTGGGCCAGTGTTTTTGGGCTGGGATTTTAAAAAATAAAATTAGATCATCTACAAAATGGATGATTGAAAATGGACTATGCGGTTAGACTGGCATGACTCGGTAGGGAAAGATACATAAACAACTCTCTGCCCTTCATAGGGCCGCCACCCCTCGTCACGGGCTCCAAAAAATTACAAAATAAGAGGGAGCTTGCGACTCCTGTAGGTGACCCCTCCCCCGGGCGTGCCCGGGATGAGGCAGCAATCCGCGCGTGCGCACAAGGGGCCTTCGTCTCCTGGATTCCTTTCACCCTTGTCCGGCTGAATGTGGCGCCGCAGGCCGGAAGTGCAGCTGCGGCTGGTTCCGGCGGCCGGGAAGGTGTTGGAATGGAAGAGGTTCCGCAGGGTGAGTCCGGGAAAAGGAACTTGGGCTGGGAAGGAGCACTGCGTGGCTTGGGCGGAGGAGATTCTTAACGGTGGTTCTGTCCCCTCCAGACTGCCCTGGAACCAGCAGTGCCCAGGCGGGCAAAGGGGCCTCGTGTCAGGGATGCCCGAACCAGCGTCTGTGCGCCTCCGGAGCTGGCGCCATCCCCGACCCGGGTGAGGACTGCGCGAGGGGGCGGGGTGGGGGGAGCGAGGAGCGAGGAGGGGAGAGAGGGAGGGGGGTGCGAGGAGGAGGAGGGGAGAAAGGGAGGAGGGAGCGGGAGGGGGGAGTGGAGGAAATGGGGAAGGGGAGGGGGGACAAAAGAGGAGGGGGCCGGTAGGGCCCCTAGAAAAGAGAAGAAAGGAGTTAAGGGGGGCGGGGTAGGGAAAAAAGGGTAGATTTGGGGGGAAAAGGGAAGGGTAAGAGGGGAGTAGCTGAGGGTCTGGAAAGGCTTAGTTTGTGACACGGAATAGGATTTAGAATTTGTACTATTATCACTCACTCACACACACACACACACACACACACACACACTTTGCATATTTTTCTTGTCCATTAGATTGTACCTTCCTTGAGGGCAGGTACTTTTTTGACAAACTTTGTATCCTCAGCCCTTAACAGTGAATGAATGAAACATCTTAAGGTCTTATCAAGTGCACATAATAGGTATTTTAATATACACTTGACGACTGGGACTTCACATACATACACTAATGGCAGAATCTAGGTGAGGGGCAAGGACCAGGAGTAGGGCGGTACTCCAGCCCCCTGTATCAAGCCTTAGACTTAGCCACTTTTTAGGGGGCGAGTGAGAGATTTAGCCTTAGAGATCTGGCAGACAGAGGGAGCTCTTGTTTCTATACCATACCTTAACCTAAAATGTTGATGTCTACAGCAATAGAGGAAATCAAAGAAAAGATGAGAACTGTGAAACACAAAATCTTGGTCTTATCTGGGAAAGGTGGTGTTGGCAAAAGCACTTTCAGTGCTCATCTTGCTCATGGCCTAGCAGAAGATGAAAGTAAACAGGTAGGAACTTTTTGGAAAAACTTGGAAAGATCGATTTGGTGGAACTACTTAAGTAGTTCTGGATTGGAAGCTTTGAACTCTTGTAATGGAAATGGATGCTGATTTCTCCTTATTGACATTATTACATTCCATTGATGTAATATTTGATGTACTCTGGCATATTTAAATCATTTCACAAAACACTGCATTTATTGTTTCACCCATCTATAGTTTGGTGAATTCAGCTTCTGGAACTTTTGGGGGTAAATCCATGGTGGGTTTGTTTGTTTTTCAGGTTTAAGATAGGAATACCTAACCCCCTATCCCTAACAGGGAAGTAGAGTGAATTTTTTTACATGTCTAGTCTAGTAAGCTAATGTACAAGTTTATATCTACAAGTTTAGTGACAGCCTTTGTACCTTATGTAGGGTAGTCACTTTGTAGAGGCATTCAGTGAAGTACTAGATTCCATCTACCAGTAGCTAGTCAATTTAGCAAAGAATCTTTGAACTACAGATTGCACATCTTTTCTCTGAAACCAAGGGACATGTTATGTACACAGGGAAATTTAGCCTATTAGACACACCAAATGTAATAATTTCTCTTTTTTCTGAACTCCATTGTACTTATGTACTATATCACTTAGCACCTCATCCATGTCCGTATTGGGGGTGAGTATTCCCTCTTCTGAACCAGATTGTAACCTAGTATGTGATCTTTATTGGTTGCTGTGCCTGAAAAAAAAATAGTTATGAGGTGGTCAGCCGTCTAGGGATGAGCCTTTCCCAATTGAGTTGTTAGTCATTTATAGCAAGCACATTGTTTATTTGGAGGGCCTCTACTCAAAATCAACTTATTAGAACCTTTCAGAGTTTCTCTTTGCTGCCATAATAATAGTAGTAATAAATTTCTGTAGTGCTTTAAGATTTACAGAGTACTTTCATGCGCTGGAATGATCCGAGGGGGTGGTAGTAGCCTCAGGTGCAATTTTGGGGTATTGAATAAAAATAAGGGGGCAGTGAAAGCATAAGGAAAGAAGAGAAGAGAAATTTTGAAAAGCCATTAATATATGTTTCATCTGTGCTGTAACAGAGTTAAAGGCATAGTGACTACACTATTTTCTAAATAAACACATAAAATGCAAGTTATAAACAATCAGTGGTCAAGTCTGCTGATAGGTCTGAACAAGCAAGTGTTAGCAAGCAAGCATGTCCCATATTGTTGGGAAATCCAGCATGCCTCAGCAGGAATATGTGCATGTAATGACTTGTTTACGATACAGTTACGTGATGTAACATTGCATCATCAAAATTTCAATGCTGGGAAAAAACCCACAAATTTACAATAAATTATTGAAGATGTCATTTTTTAAAAATTATACATTTTTTTGAAATGCAAATTTCAAAAAAAAACATTAAAGGGTTAAAGAAAGTAGATTTCCCTGGGGAGCTGAGTAATTTTTTTTTTTAATGAAAAGGGGGTGATAGGCCAAATAAATTTGGGAACCTCTGCTTTACAACAACCTTGTGAGCTGAGTAGATAATGAAAGTATTATTCTTAGAACTATTAATCTGTCAAACAGTAGAAAGGCAGGCAAACCAATTTTTAAGTTGTGGTGGAATGTGAAAATAAGGTTTCATAAATCTTAAAATGCTTTTAGCACTTAAATGATAGTTACATAACATTGAATCACACTACCTCTCAGATGTTAAAATCACAGTAGGGCATTTATGAGTAATCTGTATCCTAGTCTTTTGGTGGGAAAGTTAGGTCATTCGAGTTTCATATATGTAAAATAGCAGTGTGTGTGTGTGTGTGTGTGTGTATATGTGTGTGTGTGTGTGTGTGTATATATACACACACACACGCATATATACACATACACAGAGAAAGAACAAGAATATGAGTTTCTTGAGTCAACTTTTATGTTTATATCCTCAGCACTTAGCACAACACTTTTGTGCATAGTAAGTGCCCAATTCATGCATTCATATAAGTGTATATACATATATGTTTATATTTGACTAGATGACTTCTAAGGTACCTTCCAGATATAAAGCTATTATCTTTTTTGAGATGACAAAGGAAACAAGTTAGTCTGGTCCATTGCAGTCTTTTGTGTTTTAGTGGACCAGCAGAGGGAGCTAGAGTTAGAAAGCGGATCTATTTCATGACTATTGTACTAACTATAAACATATGTCATATGTTTTATGAGAGGAATGGAAAAGAGGAACAAGAAACTAATACCGAACACAAAAGAGTTAAAAACAAGAGCAAGAATAAAGTTATAAGGAAGACTATTACATTTTGGAATGGAAACATGATTTTCAAGAATGAATTATTTACCACCTTTTCAAAGGTTTGCAGATTTTTTAATTGACTCTTGTCTTTGAGGAAAGAATGCTACTTGGAATTAGGAAGCCTTCTGAGGTTGTGTCTAATTCACTCTGAAGAGTTTTTGCAGAAGATCTCCCTATTGAAACCTTTAGTTTTAGATATGAACCCAAGGGCAGGCTCTGGCCATTGCTTACTCATATGATATCAGCAAAACTCAAGCAGCTCCGAAGTTCAGTCCGAGATTCAGGTACATTTTAAAGGGGCCTAAATGTCTTATTTCAGTATAAGATCATGTTAGGACTAGACTGAGGTCCACAATAGCTTCTGAAGTCAGCAAGGCACGTGATAAGCCTTGTTTCATTCTCTTTAATATTTCTTTGTACTTGTCTAGATGCAGAGGGTGAATGTAGTTACTTATAAGAATCTCCCAAATTGGCTGTTTGCTTTCATGATTCTTCTTCCTCTACCCTCATTCACCTCCTGCTTTATATAGTATGTTTGTACATTTTATTATGTAAATAATGTGACTTATCCATTGTTTCTAGATTGCTTTGCTGGATATTGATATTTGTGGACCATCAATTCCCAAAATGATGGGACTAGAGGGAGAACAGGTATGACTTCTTGTTTGCAAGTATAAATTTTCTCCAAAGTCACATACTAGAGTGTACTCTTGAAACAATAGAACTGTGAATTTAGCATGTATATCTTTATGTGAATGAGTGTATTAAATCTAATACATTTTGCTGAATAGTTTATTCAATTGTCTTAAAATTTTAACTTGATTGTTTTTAATATTACTTAAATTTCTAAATATATTTCTTCCCTATTCAGAATTATATATTGTAACCAAAAAAAAAGCAAAGAACAAAAGGCTTTTTATCAAAATCAACGCATCACCTGAATCTGGCACGATATGCAATGTTCCACACTCGATGAGTTCCTGATCTCTGCTAAAGAGAGAGGGAGTTGCATCTTCTTGTCTCTTCAGGGAGAAGCTTAATCATTAAAATTACACAGCATTCAGCTTAGGTTTGTTGTCCTTTCCATTTACGCTATAGTAGCCATTGTTTTCTTGATTCTGCTTACTTCACTCTTCATCAGTTTGTATAAATCTTCCTATGCTTTTCTGAATTCATATTTCGAATTTCTTACAGCATAGTGATAGTCCATTATATTCATATATCACATTTTGTCTGACCATTTCCCAATTGACAGGCATCTACTTTATTTCTAATTCTTTGCTACCATAAAAAGTCCTTCAGTGAATAATTTGGTACATATGGGACCTGTCTATATTTGACCTCTTTGGAATACTTGGCAGTGAGATTAAATAGTATGGGTATTTTACTCGCTTTATTAATATAATTCTGAATTGCTTTCCAGAGTGGTGGGATCAATTCACAATTCCACCAACCATATATTAGAAAGCCTGTCTTTCCATAGCTCCTCTTTAATTGATTTCCCATCATTTGTCATCTTTGACATTAGCTTTCTCTTAAAAAAAAGAATCTTCCTATATCTGAAGTGTATTCTAAAGGATCCAGCTGACTACAATGGTAAATTTAGTAATTCATAGTATATGAATTTAGTAAATTCATATTATAAAATAGATCCCAAAAGGCTATTTCCAGCAGAAAATAGAGAAAAGATACCCTAATGGAAAGTCAATTAAAACCAGAAATTGTGGTAAACTACCAGAGGTTTTGATGCAGGTGAGCCTAGGAAAGGCCTAGGGGGCTATTTTGACACTGTATTAAAGAGAATATATGTAAAGCCTGAAGAGGCTAAGTCAGTTAAAAGATATATTAAGGAACCATGAGTTTTCCTATTTAACTTCCTTAAATTATTCTAAAGAATTATCTCCATTAAATTTGTTGTTTTTGTAAACTAAAACTTAATAATAACTCAAAAGATAATATTTTTTACAGAGTAAAAACTTAGAAATTTGTGATTACATAGTCAGAGGTAAAAGTCCTGACCTAAGAAAAGGCTGCTCTCTATTCAAACCACAACTTTTGCTATTTAGTGAAAGCATAGGGGCAGCTGTTAAGAAGTGGAACTAATGTTTTGAGTGTTAACCACTGCCAGTCTGTCCAAAAGCTTAGTTGTGCATAAATTAACAATTTAATTGCTAGTCTTTTGTCTTTAAAATGTATTTCATCCTATGTGGTGAAACATGGGAGTTGTTGCTGTTTTCTTTTTGGTGCTCCTATTTTGTCCCAGTAGAGCTTCGTTCTTGACACAATCCACAGGTAAAGAGAGAGAAGCTTTTCTCCTCTGTGTGGTCGCTCCAATCTCTCCATTCTAGTATCTCTATTTTAGCTTCTTTTCCCTTCTTTCATTGTGTTATTTTTGTCCAGCATGCAAAATAGTTTGATATGTAACTAAAATTTGCCACCAAGTTGAGAAAATATGCAAGGCTATAGACAACTTATAGCCTCTTTCTTCATGTTAGGTGCACTCAGACAACCTCCTCACTGAAACTACTAGTTTTAAGTTATACAAAAACAGTTTTTAGGCCATTCATTTTTTTAAAAAATCCTTGTTTCCTTTAAGCCTATAACAGAGGACCTTTTCCCTTCCTCTGTTATTAGAACATGAGGTCTGCTATCTAACCACTACCATTCTCTCCCCTTCATCCACCTCTTAGAATCCTTAGCTTCCTTCAGAGCTCAGCTTATATCCCCACCATGAAACCTTTTCTGAACTCCTTCAGTTACTTATGCCTCCCCCTTCATCCCAGATGATGTTATCATTTCCTTTTATTTACTTTGTATGCATTATGTATGTGTACATATTGTTTCCGGATAGAATGTAAGCTCTTTGAGAGCAGGGACTAGGCCACTTAGCACAATGCCTAAATAGTACATCATGCATAGATAAGGTACTTCAAGTTTGCTGATTGGTTTGATTCCATCTCATTTCTTCCTTTGTGGCTCTTTAGGGCTCACTGGCTCATTTCTGTTTTCAGACTCATAACATTCCAGTTTCCCTTTCCCTTTTTTTTCTTTTTTGACCCTCCTGTTCCAGGGAACTCTACAATTTTATTGCTATATAATCATTTTTGCATTTTCACAATAGATTTTACTACCCTAACACTTACATTGCTTTTTGTTTTTTGTTTTTGTTTTTGTGAGGCTATTGGGGTTAAGTGACTTGTCCAGGTCACACAGCTAGTAAGCGTCAAGTGTTTGGTCTGAGGCTGGATTTGAACTCAGGTCTTTCTGATTCCAGGCCCAGTGGTCTATCCACCTAGCTGCCCCCATATACATTGCTTTTTAAAAATAAATATTTTAGATCCTTCACTTGTATTTGAATGCAGGTAACCCTACCTAGCATATTTCCCCAAAGATGTAGACTCAACCTCTTGGAGAACAGAGACATACTTTCACACCTTCCTTTCTTTAATACCCCTCAAGAGCTGTTCACAGTGTATTGAGATTTTTGTGGTAGTACATGATACTAGTACTAAAATAGATATGTGATCTCATCAGTTCAGGAGTTCCCTCCAGTGATGCATCTTCCAAGTTATCTATGCCTGCCTATGCTGTGAAATTCTCATTTATGTTACCCTAAAAGTTCACCGCAAAAATTCTACTCATGTCCCAGCATGGCATGGAGGGGACCTGGCTATACCAGAGGAACTCAAGCTCTGACAGATTCTGCTGTGTTGGAAACACTTCAAGAATAGGCCCAGGGAAATAAGATATACAGGCAGTGGGGTATAGAAATCTATCCTGCCCTCCAGGAAAATAGAAGGGGAAGGGGTTGGGGGGAAATAGAAGGGAAGGCAGATTAGGGGAAGGGGTATTCAGAATGCACGCCATCTTGGGGTGGCAGGACGGATGAGATGGGTAGAAAATTTGGAACTCAAAATCTTGTGGAAGTGAATAAATTAATAAAAATTAATTATAATATTAAATAATAATTAAAAATTAATTAATAAAAAATAAAAGAATAGGCCCAGGAACAGACCTACTCTGTTTTCTATCCTAGAGAGGCACATTATTTGTAGGCTGGCCACTTCCTGGTGATGAAACTTTTTTTGGTGGTGGTAACCCATGACCGTCAGGGAAAATGATGCTAATATTCTATAAAAATGTGTACATTCTGTGTTACTAATGTGTGTAATTTTTTACAAATGATTTTTGATTCTCATATTTGTTTAGGTTCATCAGAGTGGTTCTGGATGGTCTCCAGTGGTAAGTTTTTACTTAAACCTACTTTGTTTTTGGGGTAGTATGTCATGTTGCATTTACAGGGAAATATACATACATATTTTGTGTTTGTGTAATAGAAAAGGCTAATAACTATTTGCTTGTTTGACATCATTTTTCAGAACTGAGCTGTTCATTTATTTTTAACCAGTTCTGTTGTAGTGGCAACAGAATAACCCATAATGGAATTCAATTCAACAAATAGTGAGGCACCAACTATCAAATGAGCTAATGTATGTAGAGCACTTTGTGAATTTTAAAGCTCCATATAAATGTTAGTTATTGCTGTCATTAATGATGAAAAATGTAATTTCTCTCCTTAAGAAATTTACATTCTATTGGGAGGGATCCTGCTTGACCATAGATAAAGGGGAAGGGAATAAGCATTTATATAGTGCTTACAATATGTCTAGCATTGTGCTCAGCAATTTTTAAAAACAAATTATCTCATTTGATCCTTACAACAACCTTGCAAGGTAAATGCTGTTATTAGCTTTATTTTTCAGTTGAGGAAACTGAGGCAAACAGGTTAATTGAGTTGCTCCAGGTCACACATCTAGTAAGTTTCTGAGGCTGGATTTGAACTTAGGTCTTCCTGATTCCGGGCCTAGCACTGTACTTACTGTGCCATCAGCTGCCTCTGGTGAGGCAGATACGTGAATTGGCAGGGAGTGAAGAGAACAAAGGAAAGATCAGACAAGATCTGCAGGAGTATTTATGAAGGGGGAAGAGCAAGGAAGGTTTTACAGAGAAGGTGGCCCCTGCAGTGAGTCCTGACAGAAGGCAAGTATTCTGAAAGGCAGAGAAAAGAGAGTATGTTCTAGGTATGAGGGAAGGATGCTTTGCACAGATGTGTCGAAGCAGGAGATATCCTGGCTAATTCTTATTGTTCTGCTGTCATGTAGACAAAAGATACAACTAAATGCCAGAATGGAATAGGTGGCTACTCTGTGGCCACTGACGTACTTTAGGGAAAGTCTATCCTCCAGTAAACCCAACAAGATTCCCCGCTGCTGATCTCAACCTTTTAAAAGCTGTACAGGGCAGCCTCAGCATCTGGCTCCACCATCCTCTAAGGGAATCACACTATTGAGGGCAGCCCCAGGTCTAGAGCCCATCCCCTCCCCCTCAGTTGTGTGGCACAAGGTGAAAGCTGACTGGCTTCTCCACTTCTCCCCGCCATCTTTCCACTGTGATGTATGTAAAGTCCATTCTATGTTACAGAAGGATTTCCAAGTGTCTTTGAAGGCCTGAACACTGCATAGTTAGCACTGAAAGTGGTTTCCTTGTAAAGAGATGGCTTTGGCCCTACAACTGAACCATGTACCTGTTCTGTATGTAATAAACATGTTAAATCAAAAAAAAAAGTTAGGGGCAGAAGTAGAAGATGCTGCTTCTTCCCCTATGACTGGAACTTATAGGAATAATGTGAAGTAGGGCTGAAGATGTAGATTGGACCCTGATTGTGGAAGGCCTTAAATACTAGGTAAAGGTCTTCATACTTATCTTTGACATAGTAGGGAACCCCTGAACAAGGGATTTACATAGTGATAGCTTAGGAACATGACTTTTCAGCTGTGTGAAAGGTTATTGAAACTGGTGGGAGGCACTCCAATTAAGAAGTCAAGGGAAGAGGTGATAAGTGCGCTGAATTACAGTGACAGCCCTGTGTTTATAAAACGTGGCATATGTGAACAATTCTGCGGCACATGGATCAACAGGACTTGGCAACCCATTGGTTGTTGTGGTGAACGAAAGTGTCAAGGATGACTTCAGCATCATATAAATATGAGTGTTGAGGGGAGCATATAGTAAGAAAATCAATTAATAACAGTATTTTATCACGCTCCTGCCGTGTGCCAGGCACTGTGCTAGGTGCACAAATAAATGAAACAATCCCTATGTGCAAGAAGCTTAAATTCTAGTGGAAGAAGATGAAAACAAGTACATCTATAGATATATACAGAATAAATACAAATTAATGCAAAATAGTTAACTATAAGAGAGTATGGGAGGGAGGGCACTGGTAGTTGGGGGGAATAAGGAAAGGCTTTGTAAAGAGTGGTACTTAAGCTATGTCTTAAAAGAATAGAGGCATCCAATGAGGCACAAGTGAGGAGGGAAGTGCATTCCAGGCATGGGACGTGACCAGTGCGAAGGCATGACAATAGAGGAGGGGGAAAGGGGGGCCAATTTGGCCGTAAGACAGAGTATGCCAGAGGGAACAATGTTCATTGAGGCTGAGAAGATAGGATGGAGCCATGTTATGAAGGGCTTTAAAAGCTAAACAAGACTTTTTATTTTATCCTAGAGGTAATAGGGTACCACTCAAGTTGATTGAGTAGGGAGGAGAGTGCCACAGTTAGCTCTGTGTGCACTTAAGGAAAATCATTTGGCAGCAGTGTGGAGAATGGACTGGAATGGGGAGAGACTTCAAGCAGGGAGACAGGTTAGGAGGCTTTTGCAATAGCCTAGGCAGGCTGTGATGAGAGCCTGAACTAAGTAAGATGGCAGGCCTAGTGTTCCAGGGTTGGAAGAAAGCCAGGAAGGAAAAAGAGTTCTTTGTTCCAGCCTAAAAGAACATGAAGCCTCAACAGAAATAAGAAAGATTGGAGTAGTGGGTTTAGTGGAAACAATGATTAGTTCAGTTTGTGACACATAAAATTTGAGGTGCTGACAGAGTCCAGGTGGAGGTCAGAAGATGCCAGATTTATAGCTGGTAAGGGCATTGGGAGGTCATCTAGTCCAACCCCCTCATTTTCAGGTGAAGTAAACAAGGCCTGGAGTGGATATACTTGTTGATAAGAGGTGGCATAGCCACGATTTAAAGTCAAGTCCTCTGACTTCAGATGCATGCTTTCCATTGTACCATATGTCCAGAAATCAATTAAGATGTAGGACACTTTAGTCAGGAGGGACATTAGGGCTATATGTACCAGTTCACATAACTGAATCCATGGAGAATGGTGGGACCACTGAGAGGGTTGCCAAACCCCAGGATAGAACTTTAGGGGATACTCCTGCTAAAGGGAGTGGGAGCTTGATGATGATACAGAAAAGGAAACTGAGACAGTGCCTTTTCTGCCATTTTTTTTTCCAGTAAAGTATTCCTCCTGTGATTGTTTCTTTTTTTCTGTTCCCTTTTTAGTATGTTGAAGAAAATCTTGGTGTGATGTCAGTAGGCTTCTTGCTTGGCAGTCCTGATGATGCTGTCATCTGGCGGGGACCAAAAAAAAATGGTTTGCACCTAAGTCTTTAATCATTTTGGCTTATTATTTCAGAACACACAGTGTTGCTCTCAGTTGATGCACATATCTTATTAAATTCAGTTGTAATTGTCTGAGTGCCTATTTGCCTTGCTCTGTCATTGCATTTAATTTAGCTTAAATATAAAGAGCTGATGAGCACTAGGTTTTATTAATCTTTCATATGATTTGTAAGAATTTTGCTCCTTAAAACATATACGACTGGTATTTGTGTCTTGTCTCAAGGGGCATATTTAGATTTAGAGGTAGAAATGTAAGCTTGTGTAATCAGTAGCATCTGATATTTTCTTTATTTGGTGGGATTCCATTGTAATGAATGAACAAATGTTACTTACATAGAGTATAAATTAATGCCATATCTTTTTTTTTGTAATGGAAGCCATAAAAGTGGGGAAAACTATACCTTCTTTTTTCTTTCTTTCTAAGGCATGATTAAGCAGTTTCTTCGTGACGTGGATTGGGGAGAGATTGACTACCTCATTGTAGATACGCCACCTGGCACTTCAGATGAACATCTATCCATAGTCCAGTATCTCAGTGCAGCACACATAGATGGAGCAGTAATAATCACTACTCCTCAGGTGAGACTAATGCCATTTTTATTTTCTAAAAGTAGTACACTAATATTAAGCATTGCTGTGAAGCAGTTTTGTTGGATTTGGAGTCAGAGGATGTGAGTTCAGATCCTAGCTCTTCCAATTTATGTCCTTGGGCAGGTCACTTGATCTGTCTGGGCCTTGGTTTTCTCATCTGTAAAATGAGAGATTTTGGATTTGATTACCTCTAAAGTTCCTTCTAGTTCAAAATCTGTGATCCTGTTTTTCTGTTTGGATACCTGAAACTTGAAGGAGGTATGATCATCTAACATAATGATTTTTAAATTGTGATTTCTTTAGGAACAGTGCCCGGTTGTCTTTACATGTGTTATTTGCATCTAGACAACTGTAATGTAAAAAAATCATTGCACAATTTTTTCCTGTGTTAAGTTAAACATTTTTTTATTCTGTAGCCCCTTTCTCTTGACTTATATCACAAATGCAATGTAACTTTGTATTATTCTAATTTGCTAAAGTTTCTGCTTTCCTGCAGACCCATTAAGACTTGCTAACAAACTGAATTCTTAGTTTTTGGTCCATTTTCTGCATTTTTCAAAAATGGTTTATAAATATTCCCAATATCCTATGAATTTAATTCTAAAGCCTGGAAAGATTATTATTTAAGCTGCTAATAAGTAGTTTTTTTTTTGTTTAGTCATTTTTTTCAGTTGTTTCTGACTCATTGTGACCCCATTTGGGGTTTTCTTGGCAAAGATACGGGAGTGGTTTGCCATTTCCTTCTCCAGTTCATTTTACAGATGAGAGAACTGAGGCAAACAGGGTTAAGTTACTTGCCCAAGACAACATAGCTAGTAAGTGTCTGAGGCTGGATATGAACTCAGCTCCTCCTGAGGGCAGGGCCATCACTCTTATCAACTACTGCACTATCTAGCTGCTCAGTGAGTACTTGTTAGGGACCTATTTTTCTCCACAGAAGATGCTAAGGAATATAATAGACAGGAATCTTGCAATGAGACACTTAACATCTTGGATCTAACTTAACATTAACTTAAGAATGTTCAAGTTGTCTGGGATGAGAAAAATTCAAATGGTCACTTTAATCAGTGATTGTGAAATACCTTCTATTAATGTCCTATTTAATTGAAAGAAATAGTTAATTGACTTTATTGAATTTGAAAATTTTCTCTAGTCTGGTCCATTTCTCGTATTGAATTAGTAAGATTTTATGTTTGGGGAGCTTTTTGTCAGGAAACACAGCTACCCATTAGAATTCTACCATGTGATAGTATTCATAGCAGGGCAGAATTGAGTACAAGAGGATTCTATCATGGACTCCCCCCTAAAAGGACTTAGTTACTGAAGTACTGAAAGCACTTAATAAGATGACATATTATAATTGTTAAATCTCTTTATGCAAACAAACCCAAAAGGATGTGGGCTTTATATGGAAATGTGGGTTTTGTAGATACTAATTTTATAATAATCCAGAATTTGACTGACATAGTAGAGGAATAGGTATGTTGTTTCCAGGAGGGCAAGAGGCTGAGATGTATGAACCAAAATAAGATGTGAGAGAAGAGGGTAGATAAAGATTAATTTTTTTAAAAAAAGCTCTTTAATTGCAAGAAGAGTCCATCAAGAGACACCTGACAGAAAAACCACTTATCTTGAAGGCTATTCATGGAAGTAGGTTTTAATGCAGATAGACATTTTTAGCATGAAACCAAGTTGAAAGTACCTAGTTCATTCAATTAGTATGTTTTTGAGGGTATCTTTCGTTTTATCATCCTTAGACCATTTGATAGATCTGAACCCAAGGACAGGTTTATAGAAAAATTCCTGTGAATTATTGAATCTGCCAGTCTAATGATATGTTTAATATTCTTTCTGCTGTCTTCTTAGAAAAGGAAAGAACTTTGAGCAGTTTAGGTCATATTACATAGTACTATGATTATACCATAACTGATAAATCATAACCTAGTCTATTGCTAAAGAAGTCCATAAAAGTTTACCACCTTAGCTAATTTAAAAAAGTATTGATTCTTCTGAAAACAAATTCCAAGTTTATGGCATGCCTAATAGAGTCATAAAGGGTCTGTCTCATTATGGAACATAATAGGACAGTAACTCAAGAATATTCACTTATGTGTATATATAGATTAAGTGGGGAAAAATACAAAGCCAAGATAAACCTGTTTCTTTCCTTTGATCTTTTGGTTAATTCCAAGATACAGAAATCTAGTCTTAGAGAACCTACTCTTCACAAAACTTTACTAATGCCCTGTTTTCAAATTTACATTTTGATTAGGTATTTTTTCTACCCAGACAGTTAATAATGTCCAGAACTATCCTTTTTAAAATGAATCTATTCCAGACAAACAGCTCTACGATTGGACTCGCTCTTTTCTGCCCAACAATTTGAAGTAGACCAGAAAGGTTAGAGTGTCATATTCTCCCTAGAGCTTTTTTCCAGTTTAGCAGTCTTATATGGAACTTGTGGCTATTTAATCAATAGGTTTTTTTATACACTAAGCACAAAATTGATATTTAGCCATGTTCTCTACTGTGAAACTAGTATTATAGTGTAGTTTCTTATGTTAGTTCTGAAAAACTGACTATATTCCTTTGATAGGAAGTATCACTACAGGATGTTCGAAAAGAAATCAACTTTTGTCATAAAGTGAAATTGCCAATAATTGGTGTAGTAGAGAACATGAGTGGCTTCATATGCCCCAAATGTAAGGTAAGAACATGTACATTTTTTTGAGAGTGTGTGCGTGTCTGTGTGTATAGTATATATAGTACTACATGTTAATTTAAAAAAAAACTTTCACAACTGAAGAAATAATTTTATAAGAATCTTTCTTCATAGACCTGCCTCTGGGTTCTTTAATTTCAAAAAGTAGGTCCACAAAATTTTTTATTATGGATTTCATGAATACAGTGCTTTAATTTAGCACATTAAATATCCACAGAGGCTATTTCAGAGAAATGATGTGACCTACTTATAAGTGTAGTCATTTAATATGCTTTTAAAACTAATTTTTTTAATTCTATTTATGTTCTTTCTTTACAGAATGAATCGCAGATATTTCCTCCAACAACAGGGGGCGCAGAGGTAATGTGCCAAGATTTAAAAGTCCCCCTGCTCGGTAAAGTGCCTCTGGATCCACAGATAGGTGAGTGGTCTTCCAAGTATATGAAAGACCTATAATGTCTTAAAATAAGTCAGATGAATTACTCAGTTATGTTCTTCACTAGGTAAGTTAAAGTAGGTTTGGGGGAATAAGTATTCTCAAAGTAAACCTTTATTGTTAAGTAAGATTATTATAAAAATCACTAGAACCAAGAGAACAAAAATGTCATGTTCTGTTCATAAGCTTAAATTTGATTTTTTTTTCAAGGTAAAAGTTGTGATAATGGACAGTCCTTTTTGACTGAAGTGCCTGATTCACCAGCTACATTAGCATACAGAAATATAATCCAAAGTAAGTGTTTAAAATATGTTAATAATTATCTCATTAAAGGTATTTCTTTGTGGTTCACAGTTCTGTCTTGTCTGATATCTTAGATAAATGAGTATTTTGCTCAGAGTATCCTAGAATTTAAAGTATATTCATGTAAATCCTTCAACCATGAGCTTATGACCAGTTTTTGAGCTACATATGTAAAGTGTAGAGACAGAGTTAGCTGTGAAATAAAGCTTTTAGTACTGTTATTTCCTTGTAGATAGTTACCTCCAGTAAAATGTGGTAAATATAGCAAAGAATGTAGTGGATTCTGTGTCATATTAATGCTTGTATGAATATTTCTCTTCCTAGGAATTCAAGACTTTTGTGGCTTACATAGTTCAAAAGAAGAAAAGCTGATTAGCCGCTGAAACAATTTTTATGGACCCTAGCTGTAGTCATAAACATTCTGAGAAATGGACCAATACTATGTGTAATAATAAAAAAAAAGTTTAATCAACTGCAGGGATAAATGTTAGAAATTTAAAAGCCTGAACTGGTTTTGAAATCACTTTTTAAGGACACTTTAATCATCCAATTTTGATATACTTTGTATTAAGATATGAGTTAATATAATGTAAGGCACTGTATTTCCAGATATGCCATTTAAAAAATAAACATCTTTCCTCTCTAAAACCTGACTTCTGTGACTTATTTCAAGCAGATATACAAAATAGTTATCATTTAAATTCTACCTAAATAGCAGCAGCAGCATTCATTTAGGGAACCTTTCATCTAATTTTCCCAATCCTCTCAAAAAAAGAAAAAGAAAAAGAAAAATTTTAATTTATATATTCAGTATCCTTTAAGGATCTGTTATTTCGATGGTATAGATACTCCCTCCACCTACCCAGATTGCATCCATTCTGTACCTTCGTATAAGGTCTCCAATAGTTGTGGCTTACATTTTCCTAAGATTTTATAAGACTAAAGTTTCTTGGGAAGAGGGGGAAGAGAGGTAAGCATTCACATATATTGTCAGCTCTTGACTGACCCTACCATTTATAAAACTGCTAAACAGTGTGAAAATTACCAACTATGTTTTTAATCAGGAAAATCCAACAAATGGTTATTTATATATTTAGTAAACTCTTGAGCATCTACAATGTGCCAGGCACTGAGGAAGATACAGACAACTGAGATCTCAAGGAGTATACTGTCTAGTTTGAACATAACACTACTTTGCATTTATTTGTACAGAAGTTTACAAAGTGCTTTTACATATATTCTGAGAAGCATAACATATGTGGTCTCCATTTTACCAGAAAGGAAGCTTACTCAATATAATACTAAATAGTAAGTAGTTTAGGTCAGATTTGAACTAGTCATCTTAGTCCAGCACTTTTCCATTATACTAGCAAGAAGTCAAAAGATGGTCTATAAGTACCAAATAAGTGGTACTTAGTTATTTAAGTTATGAATTCATATGAGGGCAGTACAGTGGGAGAGCCAAGAAAAGCTTCAGAGGGGTGGAAAGATGAGGATTGGATGAGGCCCAACTCAAGAAGTATGCATAGCTTATTCAAAGTACAGTAAGACCAGGAAGGTTGAAAAGAGAAATGGAGCCAAATTATGTAGTGGATCACAATGCTAGTTTAGTGTTAGAACCTCATTCTGGAGGTAATGAAGAGCCTCTGCTTCTCATTTAGTGTTTGTGTATTTCCATTCTCTCTAGACCAGGCTTTTGAAATTCATCTTGACACTCCTGTAAAATGGATATGTTGACACTTTAGTACTATGTGTGTATAAAGATTTAAGCATACAAAACAGTAATCTAACCAATAGCTCATTACTTAAGTATTAAGAAAGAGATTACTAATCCACAGGACTGTTGTGTTAATTAGCATCATCATAAGACATCCCAGTTTGGAAATAAATGTTATTCCATAACTAATTTCTTCAGAATTTAAAATCAACATATCTAGATGTATTTACCAGAAGATACTAATCTTATTAAGTGGGAAGTTTGGGGTTTCTTCTTTCCATCTTAATAGTATTTACATCTTTTGAAACTTAACAGTGCTAACTTGGCTTACATGCAAACTATTGAAAACTTGAGGTGTGGTATGTAGATACATAAAGTGGCTCTTTCCTTTGATATACTTCAGGGGCTTTAGCACAAACTCAAAATATACAACTACCTCCAACTTACTCTCTGAAATACTGTCTGGGATAGAAACCTCGATGTGACCTTAGTGATACTTTTTTGTCCTCCTATTTTACAGTGGATATATCCATATAGATTAGCAGTTTGGAGGGAGATTCCAGCAATTACAAGTGCCTGTTAAGAAAAAAAAAATGAGTTTTTATCCTAAGGATTTTTTTCATTTCAACCACCTTGATCAGATATTAATCTATCCTCATTCTGATTTTCAGAAAACCATGGAATGTGGTTTCATTGTACTATTAATATTTTGTTTCAATTTTGGGTAAACCAGATCTTGGCATTAAATAGGCTTGAGCATCTTTAGGTATTCTTAAGTACTCTGACTTACGCACTTATAATAATGGGCTCAGTGTTAGAGGCAGAATGCAGCCTTAAAATGGTAGTTCAAAACCCCCAAACTCCTGTGACTATGAGGTTTAAGAAGGCAAAACAAAAGTTTTGAGTGAAGATGTTAATGACTTACGAGCCATTTGAGCTTCAGGGAGAATAAGGTGCTAAAGAAGAATACAGTCCAGATCAATGGACAGATAATTAGACCAAGCCAGAAGATTCTAGCTTCAGCTTCTGTTCCAGTTGAATTATTTAAAGAGACCTGTTAAGAGAATGTGGTTCAAATTAAAATGTGATATGCTGTGGTTTATGTTGACTTGACTTGTACTATTCACAATATGCATGTACCAGAAAAGAGGCAGTAGGGATACATCTTGTGCAGGGCAGGAATCAAGACAGGTACAAATCCTGAAACAAACCAATATAAAAATTTAACAATTTTTAGTTTCTCCTTAACTCAATTCTTAATACCTTTTTGGCTTCAAAAATCCAATGACTTTTTCCATCTTCATCTATCTGGTTCCACCAGCGTAAGCCAACCATGAGTCTTCCTGTCACATTCTAATGAAAATGGACAAATTAACTATAAGATGCACTTTTCCTTTAGCTCACTATTTATGTTATTACAAACATACCACACAGAAAAAGTAACCCCCTTTAATGGAAGGTAAAATGTAAGTCACATAATTAATAACTGTCACGGGGACAGGAAGGGAAGGAAGGTTGAAACATGCTATTTTCTTAAAATTAGTTTTTAGTGACATCTGATTTTAAATTAAAAAAAAAAAAGAATAAGTGATAAGAGTCTGACCCATCTACTTCAGGACCAATTTTAAAATGAGAGACAGGATCATCCAGAATCTGGTGGGTAACAGAGAACTGCCATCCTAGCTAAGGTTCATAAATGTAATATTTTTATTTGTTGCCATCAGTAAAGAAATTAATGCTGTAACTTTTCACCAGCTTTAGGTAACACTGTTTCCAGATCCTTAAATATTTAATAGCAGTCTTAACCAAAGTAGTAATTTGGTGCAATGTATTGAGGGCTGGAACTACAGGACTTACTTAATCTAAAATCACTTAAGCAAGTCACTTAACCTCAGCACCCTGGGCAGTTCTCTAAGACTATAAACCGAAGAGGCACCACCCCACATTGGTAGGAGGAGTTTCCTCATCCAGGCATTCCCTATATATGTGAAATCTCAGGTGTGATCTCTACCCCAAACCTATAGCTTTGTCCAAATTGTATTTTTTTAATCCAGAATTAATCAAAAAGTCACAATCAGCAGATAAAGATTATAAAATTATTGGAAACAAATTCATTGCTGGTGCAAGACTTGTCTTACCTTGACAGACCAAAAGTCAAAGGACAGAAGAAGGAGAATAGTGACAAAACAGGCAACAAAGCTTTTGCTGAACCAGTCACAGAACAAGTAGGTAATGATAGCACTCACTCGGAAAAAGAGGTGGAAAAAGGTGGCCAGTGGATGCCTAGGAAAATAATCCAAAACACTTGCTAGCTTCAGTAGGTAAATATGAAAACGTTGTTAGTCCAGGATTGCAGAATCTGTCCCTAAATTAATATCATTCAAATGCAGATATTTTATATTCTTTAATATGTTTTATGATAGCTGGAAATTTAGACTATAGATTTGATGAAAAACAGCTAAATGTCTAATAAAATGCATTACTGATACTAATGCAGCTTTTTTTTAAATAGATTTAAAAATTGATGGCTTTTATTTGAACATTGTCTAGATTTGCCCCATAGTATCTTTTGTTTTCACATTGCCTAGGTTTCCCCCATGCTTCTCCTCCTCCCCCCTCCCAAAGAGTCATCCTTTAAACAGAATTTTTAGAAAAGGAAAAACTGAGCAATTCCTCAAAAGAATATGAAATTATATGCAGTATTTCATACCCATGGAATCCCCTTCCTCCACCTTCCTGCTGCAAAAAAATTAAAGGAAGGTATCCTCTTATATCTCTCTTTGAGGCCAAGCTTGTTTGTTATAATTTTACAACATTCGTTTTTCAATTGTTTTGTTATGATCCTTTCCATTTGCATTGTTGTAACCATTGTGTATATTGCCTTATTATAAAAAAAATAATTTCATGGTCCCAAGTCTTCAATATAGAAGCTTCAGGACAGAAGGACTTGTTTAAAGCCTGCCCTAAACCACTGTTTTTTTCTTAGTCAAGGGTTATTCACTATTTTGTACAAATAAAATAGTGAGTCATTAAAAAAAAAGAATTCAAATGAAGATCAGCCTTTTTCCCTCCCACCCTCTTTTGAGAAAGCAAGAAAGACAAAAACCTCCTATAAATAGGTATAGTTAAATGAAAAAGGTTGCCCTGTTCTCCATGGCCAGAAAAATCATGTCTCATTTTGGATTCTGTGTCCATCATTCGTTATCAGAAAGTAGGTAATGTTTCATTGTGGTTCTTCTGGAATTGTGGTTGGTCATTGTGGTGATCAGAATTCCTAAATTTTTAAAAATGTACATCTTTGTTGATGTTGTTATTGTAGAAATTGTTTTCCTGGTTCTGTTCACTTCACTCTGTATCAGTTCATATAAGTTTTCCCAGGTTTCTCTGAAATCATCCCCTTCATCATTTCTTATAGTGCAATAGTATTTCATCACATTCATATACCATAACTTGTTCAGCCGTTCACCAATTGATGGGTACCCTATCAGTTTCGGATTCTTTGCCACCACAAAAAGAGTGGCTACTGTAAATATTTTAGTGTACACAATTCTTTTCTCTTTCTTGGATCTCTTCGGGGTTTGCATCTAATAGCAGTATCACTGGGTCAAAGGGCATAATTCCAAATTGCTTTCCAGAACAGCTGGACCAATTCTCAGCTGTTCCAACAGTGCACTAATGTACTTGTTTTCTCACAGCCCCTCCAGCATTTGTCATTTTCCTTTTTTGGTTAACTTTGCATATCTGATAGGTGGAAAGAGGGAACTTTCATTTGACTAATGATGGCTTGGATTTCTTCCTCTGAAAACTGCTTGTTTATATCCTTTGACCCCTTTTCAATGGGGAGATGGCTCTTATTCATGTAAATTTAAACCTGTTGCCTATACACCTTATAAATGAGACCTTTATCAGAGAAACTTTACTACAAAGCTTTCTCTCTCCCCCATTATTCTTTCTCTCTTCTAATTTTAGCTTCATTGGGGGTTTTGGTTCTAAAAATGTTCTAATTCTATGTAATCAAAATTGTCAATTTTATCTCTTCTGTCATTCTCTCTATCGCTTGTTTGGGAGGCAAACAGGGTTAAGTGAGTTGCCCAAGGTCACACACAGAGCTAGTGTCTGAGGCTAGATGTGAACTCAGGAAGATGAATCTTTTTTTATTTGTTGCCATCAGTAAAGAAATACATGCTGTAACTTTTCACCAGCTTTAGGTAACACCGAATCTTCCTGACTCCAGACCCCACTCTATCCACTTCACCATCTAGCTGTTTATTATCAAATTCCATATTATTATCATTGATTTGGATGTAGTAAGTGGTATAAGAGATACCAGAAATCATGTATAATTGGAAAAGGTGGTGGGATGGCCATGTATAGAGAAGAAAAGATAGCAGATGAACAGCCTGAGTGCTCTGTTGGGATCCACAATTATTAAATGAGCTCAAGGGAAGTCCTCAGCATTTCAGGGCCTCTCTGGAGAATTCATGGAAAGACTGACAAGAACTTCGCAGGATGGGAAGACAATGATTTCAATCTGCACTATTAAAGAGAATCTAAACATTGATCAGCCCAAAGAACAAATCTCTCAGTAACATTTAAATAAATGTTTAGTCAATGAATGAAAAGGACAATACTTTTTTAAAAGTCATAATTATGGAATACCAAAGGTATTCAAAATAAGAAGGATATGAAATATTAGATGCAATTGTTATTAGGTCAGGAGAGATGATAAAGGAAAGTATTAGCAGTTACTCAGATTACAAAACGATAAGAAGAAAGAATTTATGGGTTTATATGATACAGAGTTCCCATCTGACCTAATGGGAGAGTAAGTGAATGTGTATTCAATACTTATGTTTTAGGAAATATTTTTACTCTTATTATTCTGAAGAATGAGGCGAGATCTGTTATGAAACCATCAGCATATTTACTTAATAATCTTAGCCACTGAGTTGTTGTTTGTTTTTATTGAGTTCTCAAGTTGTGGTATATGAATGTAATGGGATAGTACTGTGCTACAAGAAATGATGAGCAGGTGGATTTCAGAAAAACTTGGAAAGATTTACATGAACTGAGGCTGAGTAAAGTGAGCAGAACCAGGAAAACATTGTACACAGTAACAGCAACATTGTGCGATGATCAACTATGATAGACTTAGCTCTTCTCCGCAGTACAATGATCCAGGCATATTCCAAAAGACTCATGGTGGAAAATGCTATCCACATCCAAAGAACTGATGGAGTCTGGATGCAGACCAAAGCATGTTATTCTCACTTTTTGTGTGCTTTGTACCTTTTGCTCTATTTCTTCTTTGACAACATGACTAATGCAGAAATATGTTTAACATGATTACCTATAATTGCTTGATGTCTTGGGGAGAGGGAAGACAAATTTGGAACTCAAAATCTTATAAAAAATGAATGTGGAAAACTATCTTTACATGTAATTGGAAAAAATAAAATATTATTTACATTAAAAAATTTAAATTGAGTTCTCACAATTTTTGGCAATTGTATTATCTTTGTAAACTTTGAAAAGCCAACCTTTGAAACATACCAAATGCTTAAATACTAGACAGTGAGACCTTGGTTAACCCTCATTTGATCTAAACACTCATTTCTCAAGTGTTTAATCAAATGAGGGTTAACTTGAAGGCCTTTTTTGTTCTAATCTTGTTAACTCTTTCTACTGTACTGTTTCCTGCTTTAATCTGTACAGTGTGCTAGGGATCATAAGATCATAGAAGCAGAGTTAGAAGGGTCCTCAGAGGACATCAAGTATAACCTGCTCATTTCACATATGAAGAAACAGGCCCAGATGAGTTAAATAATTTGCCCAGGGTCCCACAGCTAGTAACTAGTGTCTGAGGTGAGATTCTTACTGGAAGAAACCAATATTATGTTGTTATGTTAATAACTAATTATTAATTTTTGATCTACCCTTTTCCTTTTATTTCTGTTAAAATCCAACTTCTGAAAAGGTCAGTCAGTCAGGTCTGTGGGCATGGCTGAGTGTGCCTAGCCCTCAGGATACATGCTCATTTACTAGGCTGGGTGGGACCTTGGGACCCCACCCAACTGGGAAACCCAATTTCTGTTCAGAGTATAAACACAATCCAGTCTGAGTGAGATTTTGCCTGGGGAAGGAACCTCCTGTCCTTTATCCCCCTCCATTAGAGTTTAGGACAACCTAGCTCTTGAAGAAGAAAAATAGCCAGATAGGTCGGGAAGGAAATGCCTTGAGGCTGCCAAGTCTCTAGATCTAGCCATGTTCTCAGCAGGAAGAACTGAAGACTTTTAACTCACCTTCTCATTAAATTCCACCAAACAGGGTTGAGTTTTACTTGCCAGGGGACTTCCCTTTCAGAAAGGATTTAAGGCATTTCAGGGTCCCCCTTGGGGTTTTTGGTTACCAAGAGAAACCCCTGACCTTCAATTTATTGATTGCTGGCTAGCCTAATTAATAAATTATTAATTATTCAGAAACTATCACCCAGGTCTTTCCAACTCTATGTCCAGCACTTTCCACCACATGAAGCTGCTTCATACTAACTGAATGTTTCTGGAATAACTGAGGATCTTACAGTAGTTCAGTCATTTCTGAGTATCAGCTATCTCCATAGATTTAGGAGATTATCTCAAAAAACACCAACCCTGAGATATACCCCAGAAGGTTTTTTGATCCTCTATGTCTGCTTGTTTTCTTGTCTTTTTGTCTCCTTAAGGCTAGGTATTTGGGTGGGAGAGGAGGGGTTTACTAATAATTTTAGTGTCTTGGTCAACTGGATTCCGGTTAATCAAGGTTTTATTTAAGATATAGATACAAAGTACTATGTGACCCTTCTTAGGCCATTTAGCCTTTTAGTTCTTTCAAACAATTCTCTAAGATGCTGACCAGGGGTTCTTCACCTTATGGATATCATGGACCCTGTTGCCAATCTGGTGAAGCCCTATGGTTACCTTCTCAGAATGGTGCTCTTAAATACATAAAATATATAGCATTATAATAGAAAATATATTGAAATGCAGTTATACATATGGCATATTGGATTTATATGTACATATCTGAAATATGTGTATATGTGCATGCATATGTGTACATATGTGTATGTGTCTACATACATACATACACACATCAAGTTCACATAGCCCAAGTTAAGAGCTGCTTTAAGACTCCAAGCTACAGACCAATGGCTGATCTGCATCGGTAGCTATGGTTCCCTCACCCTACACCAATGCAATCATACGTCCAGACCAAAAGGAAAATGATCCCAAGAGAAACAAGATAGTTATTTAAGCATGTTATTCTTTCAGAACAGGTCCTATTAAAAATTCTTTAGGGTCAGTTTGTATCCCCCCAGTCTCTAGAATCTGCTTTTTCATGCCTGCAGACCTTGTATTAATAAAATTTGTACACCCAACAGGTTTAAGCATTCCTCCTGCTTTCCCCCCCCCCAAAAAAAAAGGATATTGTACTAAGGCAGAAGCAAAATCTTAAAAGTTAAAATATATATTCTTCACTGAAGGGACTAGATTCACTTCTCAGCACTGCAAAAATACATGGGTTATAACTCAGAAAAACAAATAAGCCAAGGCTCTCCTTTTTTCCTTCAACATATTCCCTGCCCTATTCCTCAAAGTAAAGCCTATAGTGGGTTCTCTCTTATTCATGGAATCCAATCTAAACTCAGCCTGGCTACTTTATGCTACCTCCTCTATCTCTGCCTCTTCACCACTCCATCTTTCTTTTTCATTTTTTCCCAGCAGAACTTTTCCTTTTCTACCAATAAGAATTCATCACTTTTCTTATACTTACAAATAGAATAATTTGTTATAAATTTAAACTAATGAGCCAAGCAGATCTCTATTTGACCAGCTAGTATGTCAATGTCTAAATGTGGGGATCCATGTTGAAAGGAGGAAAGGAAATTACTTAACTAAAGTGTCAAGATTGGCAACATTAGGTTTGTTTCTCCACTTTTTAAGCAAATGTTATTTCCTACTGGGGCTGAGTTACTCAACAGATTAAGAATAGCGTTACTGTCCTAAATACTATAGAAAAAAATTGTGGTGTACTTGGCTATAAAAACCACAGCTGTTAAGTACATTCAGAATGACAAAAATACCAATTTAGCTGCCCCTTCAGAAATTACCTGCTCTCTCTAATTCAGTAAAGCAGGCTTCTATTTTAAAGACATATTAAGAAGATCAATACCTATCAAGACCAAAAAAAAATCAGTATCCTTAAATTAGAAATAACAGAAATCAGATTATGACAACTGACAAACCTAAGCTGTATCTATACTGTTATGATTAACCATTTTTATTGTATTTAGTCAAAGAATTTGGTCAAATACTATAGTTGATTAATTTTTTACTCAACTGTCCTGTTTGAATTTATTAAATCCACTCACCATTATTACATTGTGTTGTTGTGGTCTGGATTCCACAGGCAAGATTTCCTTCTTACATTTTGCTAAAGATGGTGTCATATCTTCCCACCCCTCCTCCATCCAAATTAGGGAAAACAGTCTATTTCTGACCTCCTTGGTACTCCTAAGTAGGTAGCATAAATGAATACTTATACATTCCCACTAACTCATAATAATAAAGATTTGAGCGTGGAAAGGAATAAAAGCTTGCGCTCCCTCCTCAATCACCACATATTACTTTTCTCACTTGTTTCTGTTCTATAAAGTGACATCACGCTTTTGATGCTTGTAGTAACTGTTGGAAGACGAATGAACAAAACCCATACAAGTCAATAAAGGGAAGCAAAATAAAGAGACTCGGTTTGGGCAATCTTTTCTTCATGTTACTCTAGCCCCTGCAATCATTCTAGTGTCTTCTATAACGGGGGGGACAGGGAAGTGTTGAGATCCGGTCTGACAAAGATTTCAACCATGCAGCTATTCAGGAGCACAAAGCCAGACCTTTTATTCAACTGCCCAATATTAATGTATTAACATGGTGGCTTCAAAATGTAACATGCCATAAAGGCATGGTGGTACACAAGCACATAGACTTATTAGAGTAGTTATGGAAACAGGAGAATATCTTAAACACTATATTTAAGGCAAGGACTGCTTCAAATGAGTGCTAACTTGTACATAAGTAAACAGAGTCAATAGAAAAATTAAAAATGTAATTACACCAAAAGGCTAGGACATATTCTAGAGAACTGCAGTCTTAAATTAGAGGAGGGAGCTTTGAGAAGGAGCTTGAATGTAACTAAGGCAACTCACTTTTATAGATTCAAAAAGCATTTATTAAATACCTATAATGTGTGGGCTTCTGGTGCTTGTGACTCACAAGCTGGAGGACTAAACATTTGCTTTAGTCTCCCCAGCTCTCAAAAAAAAAAAAGAGGCTAAGAGGTTAAGGTAGAGGTTAAGCAATAATAGCTAAACACAGGACAGAAAGCAAGAAACCACAAAAGGTAACAGACTTAAAAATTGACATATCACCCCTACCTGGTGGCTCTCCCCTACAGGTCTCCCTATGGTAACCAATCCATGGACTCTGCTTCTGGACCCACCCAGGAATTTCCTTCCTGCAGCAGAATCTCTGCTGGCACAGCAAATCTGTTTTTCCCATATCATGCTGTTGCAATAAGCAATGGAATAAGCAAAGCCTGGAGGAGAGAATGAAGAGGTACAGAAGAGGGGAAATCAGATATCCTCCTGACGAGGGTGGCCTCTAGGTTAGCGAACCTTGGAGTCTGATACAAAAGACTCTGTCCAGAACACTAACGCAAACTCTACTAATCTCATAAAAGGTAGCAGATAACTGATTCAGCACAATCAGGGAACTAAAGAATAAAGAAAACTGGGCTGCACTGGAAAGAAACAGGTACTGAATTGTGATCCAGAAGAAAGTGGTACTGACTTCTAAACATATCTAGCCCTGAACCTCTAGAAGATACTAGGGGCAGAGATCAGACAAAAACCAGTGAAAAGCAAATTCCCCAACATTAGAGGAGGCTGAGGCAGCCTTGTAGTCTAGCCCCAGAGGGAAATGTACCATCAAAAGGCTAAGAGTCAGAAAGTCAATGATAGGAAAAAGGCTAAAAGCACAAAATATTTCAAGAGGAAGAAAATGCAATTAAAAACCAAAGAGATGAATTAGTACAGAAGATGCCAAAATGAGAAGATATGCCTATCAAAATATCCAAAAGATTATAAAATCTTCTAAAATATTTTGAAACAAAGGAAACTGAACCTCTGCCTGATGAAGCAAAAACCCTATGGATTCCCCAAAGAGCATGAAACCTCAGCACAATGTTCCAGAATGGTTCAAGAAGGAAAGTAGAATCTTGAGTGAAGTTAGAAAAGAACAAATGAGGAAACTGAAATATCGTGACTGGGGTGGCAGGAAGACGGTGGCTCAAGTGGGACCAATGTCAGGGATGGTGGAATGGGAGGATGGTGCCAGTGTCCTGGCTGCCTTCCTGGGTGTTAAGCAGAGTCCTGTGGCTTTCAGGCTACTCTGAGCCGGGAGCTGCCTGGCAGACCTAGAACATGGAAAAGAATGCACTACAGGTTTACCATCTAATTAGAATCTTCTGGGACCCAAAGAAGTCCAGTATTTTAGAAGTAGTGGAAGTGGTAACAAAAGGTTGTGTGGAAGTTAAGGAGATCCATGAAGAAGATTATCTGGTTATTATCAGGTTCACACCTACAGTACTTCATTGTTCTCTGGCCACTCTTACTGGGCTTTGCATATATATATATATATATATATATATATATATATATATATATATATATATCTTCAGAGGAGTTTACCTTTCAAACATAAGTCAGAAATAAACATTTTTGAAGGAACCCATTTCACAGAAGAAGATATAAACAAATCAGTGACGACAAGGAAAGAGTAGCAGCTTTGACAGAGAATTCCAACTTTTGGGAAATTGTCAGTGTATCACTGAGGCTGATTAGCAGCTTTTCTGAAAGCCACCAAATTTTAATCATTTGATATATTTGTTTAACTCTGTTAAACAGAATGCCCTTTTGTTTATTACTTGGACAACTGTACTTCCAAGTATTTTTTTGAAAGACCAGTTCCCAAAAGGGACTTAATTATAAGGTAGCACCAATTATGTTAATGTATTTAACATTCTCAGGTGTTATCACATTTGGTGATTAGAGAGAAGAATATTTTCCAGTTACTGTGGATAAGACACATGACTTTTTCAGATGCCCATTCTGATATCACACTATTCTTTAACAGATCAATGATCCCTATTGAACGAAGACAAATCAGACTTCAATTATTACTCTGTAAAAACAGAAATAAAATGCAGACGCTTCTTATAATAAAACTGCCCTATCATTTCAACATTTATTAAAAAAAAATGGCAGCAGAAGTAATTAGCAGAATTTTTTTAAAAAAGTAAATCTAGGGGCAGCTAGGTGGCGAGTGGGTAGAGCACCGGCCCTGAAGTCAGGAGGACCTGAGTTCACATCCGACATCAGACACGTAGCACTCACTAGCTGTGTGACCCTGGGCAAGTCACTTAACCCCAATTGCCTAAAAATTTAAAAAATAAATAAATAGATAGATAGATAGATAGATAGATAGATAGATAGATAGATAGATAGATAGATAGATAAAGTGAATCTATAGTAGTGAGTCTCTCCAAGAAGCGAAAAAGAAAACAAAAGATTAGTAAAAACAAATAGGCTGAAGTGAAGGACAATCTACCAAAAAAGAGAGAGAGAGAGAGAGAGAGAGAGAGAGAGAGAGAGAGAGAGAGAGAGAGAATCAAAAGGCAAATATATTAAAAGAACACATGATCTCTATAGAAGAAAAAGTCATTGATCTCAAAGACAAGATATAAAGAGATACCTTTAGGATCATAGAGCCTCCCAGAAGAACAAGACAAGCTAAAAAACTTGATCATCACAATGCAAGAAGTCATACCATAAAAAAAAAAACCCAACCTGCCCAGAATTTCTGAATACAGAAAACAAAGTAGCAATCAAAATAATCCACACACCCCTTCCAGGAAAAAAAACCCAAAACTATTATGCTTTAAAGTCTAAGATGCATAGAGGTAAAATTTAATAATTCCAATGATAAATTAGCAATTGACCAGGAGAATGACTTTCAAATATAAAGTAAAGGAGATCTGAATTAATACAAGACTTTTCTGCATCCATTAGAAAGCACAGAAGGGAAATGAATAACATATTCCAAAAAGCCAAGGCAATTAAGATCTAACCTAAAATGATATGCCCTACAAAATATCTATTAAATGCAAAGTACTGTGCTAGAGACGGAAACCAGAGATGAGTAAGACAAGCCTATATCTTCCAGGAGATTCCAATCCAGTAGAAAACAACCCTGTCTTAGTTGTCATTTTAGACCATAAACTCCTTCCCTCACGCCTCATGCTATATATTCAAAATTAGCATTTCATAAATGTTAAATTGAAATGAACTTTTCAAATCACCAACAAAACAACTGTTGAGCTTAATACACATTTTCTTTTAATATGAAAACATTCTTGGGAGAAAGACCAGGCCTACTCCCTTTAATTCTAGGCTATTCCTTCTTTCTAGCCATTTGGGATTTGACCTTATAGTAGAAAGACTATTGGATTAGAAATCAGGGCCCTGACTCCAGTTCCTGACCTGGCAGGGATTATATTCAGACTTTCTACACCAGATTCATTTCATCTCTGTTTTCAGGTTCATATCATGTGTCCTAATCACTGATGCTGTGACTTGATAGATTATGGATTCCTCTAACTTTGCCAGCTCTCACTTCTGGGTATTTGCTCAGACCAACTAGACTCCACCAGTATCCACATACTCTTTAATATTTCTAGCACCCAAACTGTTGTTTGTCTTTCCCTTCCGAGACACTGCCCCACCTACCACTCACAAGTGTCCTGTAAGGTAGCAGTCATTCATATTTGAGTGAAAAATTAGTTTAATCTGATTGCATTCGTCCTAACAGGGAAAGAACAGGAGTTTTTGTGGAGAGATATTCTTGGTGCATCAAACATATAAAGGTAGGAGAGGGGGGTCTAGGCATAATTTTATTATGGGGAATGTTGGGCAGCCACAGAGTTACATCAAGCATTAAGTGGCTGAAGCGTAGGACCAAGTGAACACCAGAAAGAGAGAAGAAAAATAAAGACCACACCAAAATCAGAGAGGTAGGATGCCATCGTGGAAATAATGTGGGATTTGGAGTTGGAGGACCTGGGTTCAAATGCCAACTTTGCCATTTATTGCCTGGGTGACCCTACGCAAAGCATTGCAAGTTCCTGGGCTTCAGTTTCCAGAAAATGAATTTTGTAGAATTTCCATATTTCCATATTAAAGAAATTAAGGTCTATAAAATGAATTGTGGAAATTTCCAATTTCTATACAATCACAGTGGGTTGGAAATGATGCCCTGTAATGTCTCTTACAGTTCCAATTCCTTGGTCCTATAGCTTCAAGAGCTCTCAGAAGTTATCTGGCCCAATTTTCTATTCAATAAATATTTATCTGACTCCTTGCCTCTGAAAATTCATAGATGATTATATGGCTACTATTTAAACACTTATAGTGATGAGGGAGTAATGATAAAAGAAAGCATTTCACTCCATAAACTGTTAGGAAGTTTGTCTGCTAAGCCAAAAGAAGCTTTTGTTCCTTGTAACTTCCATCCATTTGCTGTGGTTCTGCCCTTTGGAGCCAAGCAGAATACCTTTAATCCTTCTAAGAAAGAAAGAGTGATAAAATACCAAAGGAAAAAAAGTTTACCCACTCAACAAAAAAAGTCTTGCTCTCTTACTTCTAAAAGCCAGATGGGAATGTTTCCTCCTTTTGGAAAATAAGGCCCAAGAAAGAAGTGAATCCCAGATAGGTGGCAAGCCACTTATCCAAGTAGGAGAAAGCCTGAAAGAACAAGTTGGATGAATCTAGCTGGCTGCTATAATCTTGGCTGGGTCCTCTAACCCCTGTGATTTGAATGAGAATCCACTCCTTAGATTGGAATGAAGATCCTTCCCCTCCATTTGAAGACATCCCTTAAGAAACCCTACCTAACTCTCATTAAGAAACTCCCTTTACTCAGTCCTCTCACACCTGCCAAACTGGTGAGATAAAGATTCAGATATAATTGTATTTAGAGAATAGGACAAATGATGAAGTGTGTGGATTTGGGGTAGAAGGGAGGGAATGGAATATATTCCTGGTATACCTTTCACTGACTCATCAGAAGGTACCCAACGTCTAACAGTTACCCATCTTCCAGATGGCTTAGCTTCCACAATTTATTTCATGTTAAATAAACACAATATAAAGGGAAGTTAAACCAAAAGAGATATAAGGAGTTAATTTCATAATATGTAATTTCCTGCTTTAATCAAGGAGAACTGAAATTTGTTTAGTTCCTTGATTCTGTGGGTTATTTTCCTTGGTAATCTTGAATGTTCCTTAAAATGAAATAACCTGATCTCTGTTGGAGTTGCTTACATTGTTATATTTCTTTATTTTTAAATAGATTTTTTTTAAGATTAAGAAAAAAAAGTGACTATGATTTATTCCCCAAAGTCAAAATCCAGGCAAGTTCTCTAAAGCCTGTCAGTTCTGATAAAACTTAATTCTATTTCAGGAAAACAAATAGCCTTCTAAAAGAGTAGATAGCACAATCACCAGACATTATTTCCTTTCCTTAGTTTATTTTATACTGTGCCCTTTGTATAAGAAGATATACAAGAAGATACACCCCTATTAGGGTAGGCACTTTGATTTATTTCTCGTGTAGCAATTTTCCCACTGAAGCTGTTCATACTCTAGAACCTAGTTCTCTTGATCAATGTTTTGATTTGTTGATATGGCCAGCTAGAGTTAGAAGTACTATTTTTGGCCATGGGACAAAATTTTAGACCTTGGACAGGACGTTAGAAATCATCTACTCATTTTAATTGGTGTCTAGAAAAGTGAAGTAATTTTTCCAAAGTCACACAGCTAGTTTATATATGACTCAAGATTAAAGCCTGGGATGTTTAACTTTTACTTCAGTGTACTTTTCATTTTCCTTCTTAATTGCAATGGGGTTTATAAAGGTTTATCGACTCTTTATAATGTCTGCCCTGCTATTCTCATTTTACGTAAAAGGCGCAGGGAACGCAAAAAACTTCTCCCAAATCAAACATCTATCATTGTCACATAACTAGAACTAAAATTTCTAGGCTAAGAAAGACTATCTGAATTTACCTGATTTTAGCTTTCCTCAATGCCAATTCCTCTTCATTTCCAAAATCAAGAGACACATCCTCTGTGTCATCCACCAGGGACTAGGAGAAAACAAAAACCAAGAAAGCCATCACTATGAATTAAAAGAGCACTGGATTCAGAGTTGAGATCAATCTGACTCTGCCATACGTGTGACCTCGGGCAAGTCCCTTAACTTCTCTGGGCCTCTTTCCTCAATTGTGAAATGAAGAAGCTGGACTAAATGCCCTGTAAGATTCCTTCCATCTCTAAATTGTTGATCCTAGGATGTTATACCCTTCTGAACCGTATTATCTATCCCATACCATATTAGTCCACAACGTTAGTAATCCCTTAGGTATACTGCCTGTTGCCTTAAATTTCTTCTGGCCTCTCATAAGGAATGAAGAAAAGTCACAGAGGGTCATATACACAGATCATAGATTTGGAGCTGGAAGGGACCTTAGTAGAGGTCATGTAGCTCAATCCTTTCATTTTACAGATGAGGAAACTGAGGCCCAGAGAAGCTGTGACTTCTCCAAGGTTACATACAAGTGTCAAGTTGAATTCTAACCCAGGTCTTTCCTAACTCGAAGTTCAATACTTTACCACGCTGTTTCAAGTTCAAGTTGGAGGTATAGCAAGAGCAAGAGCACACACACACACACACACACACACACACACACACACACACACACACACACAATGGACACTTTCTAGTAAGAGCTTACTCTGTTAGGATCTCATCTTGTCCCACCTTACTGTTTGAGTTCAGTTTCTTCTTTCCTATTTAACCCTCTGCCCCATCACCCTCCCGGACTACTCCTCTATGAACTGCCCTTATCTACTTGAGACCACTACTTCCAGCCTCAATTAATCCCTCTACGTGATGTCATTGGTCCTCTTCAAGAAAAGGATGAACAACAATCCCATTTGTACCACAAGCCTCACTTATCTCCCTCCCTTATTGTCAGTCAGTCAGTCAACAAGCATGGATTAAGTGAAATGCCTACTATGTGCCAGGCACTGTACTACTGTGCCATCCCATCCTTCCACTGCCTGCGCCCTTCCTTTGCCTTTTCCTCCAGCCTCTCCCTTTTCTCTCCTCCCACCCCTACCCCTCCCATCCCTCTCCTTCTACCCCAGCTCCAGCACCTCTCAATCCCTTTTCTTCCAGCCCATCTTCCCCCTTCTTCTTCCTTTAGTCCCTCCTCCTTCCTCCATCTCCCCTCCCAACCCTTCACTCCTCTCGCTAACCCCTTCCAGCGCTACCCCCAGCCCCTCACAACACTTCTACATCCTCCCCACCCCCACCATTTCTCTACCCGGTCCCTCCCATTCTTCTCCCCTCCCTTCTACAACACCCCCCCCTCACCAGCCAAACCTTCGAGACCCCTCCCATCACTCTCACTTCCTAGGGAGGAGGCAACCCCATCCTCCATCACCTCACCTGCTTCATCTTCCCACCTGGCCACCTTGGGCCCGCCCAATCCGCAACTAGGTTGAGGCCTGGTTTTTTCTCTCTTTTGATGTCCGGCCGCCACTGGGCAGAAGGGTCAGGGGCATAGGCGGGATGGGATTGGGGGGGGGGGGCAGCGCTTTGAGCTCAGGCTGCTGAGGTACCAGTCGCTAAGGGGCCGCCCTCCACACCTCAGAGCGCAGGCGCAGCATTGGCTGCCCAGCGCACCGGAGACCTGGGCTGGGGGCGGGGCTTGGCGAGAAGGGCTAAATAGGACAGTGAGTGACCAATGAGACGTTCGAGGAAAGGTGGACGCTAGCTGACGTGAGCGGGTGGTACTGCTGTCAAGGTGGGGAGGCAGCTTTGAGGAGTCACAGAATCATACTTGCAAAAATTCCTTCCCCCTACCTCTTCCCCAGTCATCCAAAAGTGGAATGAGCTTTTGGATGACTGGGGAAGAGGTAGGGGGAAGGAATTATTGAAGGAGTATGAATGGGAGCCATCAGGGGAGGGTGAGGTGACAGATAAGTCATGAAGAGTAAAGGTGGAGATGGATGAAAAAATAATTTTTAAATCTTGTATCCTCGAAGTCTAGCAGGAGTCCGTAGGAGAGGAGTTCATGGGGTTGAAGAATGGGCATGAATTTAAAGAACCATGCTATTGAGGCATATATACAGAGAATATGTGAAGCCAAGGGGAAATACTGGCCCTGGGAATTTGTTTCTCCCTTCACAGTCTTTACCAAGTTTAGTTTGGTGTTGTCAATGGGAGAGTCACTGCCTTGCTCAGGTCTGTTGGCTCCTTACAGGATGCGGTGTTTCAGCTGATGAGCTGGGTCAATCAGGTCACAAAACTGCTGCATTACTGGTTCTGGTGGTCTCTGCTACCAACTCAGGTTTCTTAGGGTACCTGTGATATCACTTCTGACCTTTCCAAGCTCACAAGGTCATAACCTGGTCAATTCTGTCTCTATACACTCATTCACCCAAGATCAGAAAGGAATAAACGTGAAATAAACAAGTACCACATATTCAGGGATATGTGGCAGCTCAGTGGGGACATAAGGCAGCCTTCTGTCACAGAAAGTCATGATCCTCACTGTGTAGCTCACAGCAGTTCTTCCTCTCTCAAAAGCCACTCTGCTCTAACAGTTTGGATGCACATTCAGTGCTTCTAATGAGCCATCAATCCTTCCAGCTCCTAAGCCAATCAAAAGTCTCTTCATTACCATATAGTATGGGCTCCCGAGTCTTTCATGGCCAGAGGTATTCTCTCCAAAGTTCCATATGTTGGATTGGAGCCAAGTAATGAATAAGCATGCTCTAAGGCCTTCCCATTACAATGGAATTAAACTGAGTGGTCTGATTAAGGAAGAGTCAAAAGCAAGGACATAGTTGATAGGAGGAATCTGCTCCTAATTTTCAGGGAGGAAAAAAAAAAGTCCCATACATATACCATGGCCTATTACCAGAGTTTTTCTTAAATAATGAATGACCAGAGGCCAGAGGGTTCAGTGTTGAATCAGGGGCAGTCAGAGTAATGCTATTGGGTGAAGCAGAATCATCAATGAGGGCCTTTTACTTCATTAAGAAAGTCTTATATCCCTTAACCCAATCTCCCCCCAACACACATACACTTCTTGGGGGACTAGAAAGAGTAAACTGGATATTTTATTTTGGAGATGAATAGTTTATGGTAGCCAGAGTAGTGAGTTTCACCTCTTTCTGGAGTTTGAGAATAGGGTTTTCTAGTAATTTGGAGAAAAGTGGGGTTCATCTTTGCCACAAGTTTTTTATGTTTTACAACTCCTCAAAATGTCAGTCTGAAATTTAGAGACTGAAAGTCAGAAATGACAGTTGAAAAAGATTAGGACTTGGAAAGGTCTTCACTAGTGGCTAATAATGAAAACTAAATGGCAAGAGTAGTGAAAAGGGGGCTCATTGAGAAATGAGAATGCAGCAGAAATTTAGGGGCTTTTTTCTCCCCAGAATTGTCAATAGGTCTGATGTACTATTGAATTAGGGTTCATAGATAGTTATGTCTGGCTGGGAAATCACCTATAGAAAACCAATTTTTTGCCTGTTACTAACTGCCCTTGGGTTGTGGTTAATGTCCCAAAATACCCTCAGTTCTCCACCATCTGTACAAAGAGAAAGGAAAAGAAGCATAGATCATCCAAAAAGTGTGACCAGTAAAAAGTCACTGACATTTGAGCATGGAATTCAGACACATAGATTATAAACACTTGCATTCACCTGCTTCAGCGGCAGGTTGCCTCTTCCTGGCTCAACCCTACTGTGGGTTGTTAGTCTTTGAACCAACTGGAACAGTTAAGAGAAGATGCTGACGTGATCTAGCAGGTCTCCCTTGCCTCCATTCATGCAACAAGCATTTATTAAGAAACTATTTTGTGCTAAGCACTAGGGGTACAAAGATATAATTGAAAGTGTTTCTGTCCTCAAGGGGTTTTCATTCTTTATGGAAGAAAAAATAAACACATGTAAGTCCATTGACATTCTTTTGTTCACTTTTCTTGACACTGCCCTTTCATGGTTATCTACCTAGCTGTATGACATCCTTCTTTGTCCCTTTAACTGGGCCATCATCCATATGCTACCCTCAAGTCATGGCTGTCCTCCGAGTCTCTGTTCTGGTCTTTCTTTTCATTTCTCTATATCTTATCTCTTGATGAGGTCATTAATGCCAAAGAATTATATTTTCACTTATATGCAGACAACTCCTAAATGTATTTATTCAGCCCTATTCTCTCTCCTGAGTTTTAGCAATATATTACTGTACATTTCCACCTGGATGTCTCATGAGGCATCTCAAACTTAACTTGGGGCAACTAGGTGGTATAGTAGAGTGTAGAACTTGGAGTCATGAAGGCCTGAGTCTGAATCCTGCCTCAGACCTTTACTAGTTGTATGGCCCTAAGAAAGTCATTTAGGGGCAGCTAGGTGGTGCAGTGGCTAGAGCTCCAGCCTTGGAGTCAGGAGGACCTGAGTTCAAATCCAGCCTCAGACACTTGACACTTACTAGCTGTGTGACCCTGGGCAAGTCACCTAACCCCATTGCCTAGCCAAAAAAAAGAGAAAAGAAACAAATAACAACAAAAAAGAGAAAGTCATTTAATCTCTCTGTGCCTGTTTCCTCAACTATAAAATAAGGGAGTTAGACTCAGTAGCCTTTATATTCTCTTTCAGCTCTAAATTTATGATCTTAGGTCCAAAACAGAACTTGTATTTTATATTAAGCCTATCTCTCTTCAAAATGCCCCTATTTTGGTTGAAAAACCATCCTTCTAGTCACCTAGGTTTGCAATCTTAGAGTCAACCTAGCACTGCCTTCAATCTCTCTCCCCCTCATATCCAATTAATGGCAAAGTCTTATCAGTTCTTCTTCCGCAATATCTCTCTCATTCATCCTTCTCTTCTTCATCTCCATTCACACAACTGCTTGAAGCATTCGTCTCTTGCCTCATCTATTTAAATAGCCTCCTAACTGAATTTCCAGCTTTTAGTTTCTCCCTCCTCCAATACTTCATTCATGCAGCTGCCAGTGTTATCTTTCTAAAGCACAGATATTGTATTCTAGGACAGGCCTAACCTAGGCCAGTCCAAT